TTTTTTCGCCCGTTTTTGCGTAGTGTGTAGCAAGAACGGGGAAGGTCGTCCAGAGGTCTCCGTGGGCTTAAATTGATCGTCATGAAAAATCTAGGTGAGCATAATTCGATTTTTCCAATATTTGTCCGACTTACCCCTACTTAAGGGGTGGAAACCACCCCTAAAACAAGAAACGTGAGAAAATGGTCGATCAATTCTTGGTAAAAATTGGCGGGAATTTGAATGGCAAGGAAGAGATCAGGGATGTTCTTCCAAATATGCTCAAGGTGAAAAACATCCCCCGCGTGGGGGTAAAACCACCCCTATTGTCGATAGCAGACGGGGAATGATATCCACTTCATGAAGTACTTTGTTTTCCCCACTACCCGACAAATGATACGAAAGACGGGCCCCATAATTCGACCTTTTGTTTTACCCCCACGCGCGGGGTGGGTTTATCATGAGCATTTTTAGGACATTCTTGATTTTACTACCCTTGCCATGTGAAATCCCCCCAATTTTACCAAGAATTTATCGACTATTTTCTCATTTTTCTTGTTTTAGGGGTGGTTTCCACCCCTTAAGTAAGGGTAAGTCGGGCAAATATTGGAAAAATCGAATTATGCTCACCTAGATTTTTCATGACGATCAATTTAAGCCCACGGAGACCTCTGNGGGGTGGTTTCCACCCCTTAAGTAGGGGTAAGTCGGGCAAATATTGGAAAAATCGAATTATGCTCACCTAGATGTTTCATGACGATCAATTTAAGCCCACGGAGACCTCTGTAGAACCTTCCCCGTTCTTGCTACACACTACGCAAAAACGGGCGGATTTTGCGGTCAATCTGTGACCAAATTTTGTTGCATTAATTTCAAGACACCCGGTAGTACTTACATTAATTTAATTAATTAAACTATATTTTTTCGTCTTGAGTATCGTGTGCAAAGCAACAAATTTTCTGCGTACCGAGTCTATGGTGCTGTTGCTTTCTACAGTTTTGGTTCTATTGTGCCATTTCAGACTTAAGCCAGGGCAGGAACTTGGCTATGTTCGTGTACACTCCAGGCCATCCCTTCATCCCGCACCCCATCCCAAAACTCACAATCCCCGCAGCATACCAGGTTTGGTCATCACTGGATATCATCAACGGGCCTCCGGAGTCTCCACTGCAGCTATCTTTTTGATCTTCACCCCCGGCACATATCTGAGTGTCCTTGAGTTTGATATTGCTTGAAGAATATTTTTCTACACATTTCGTTTTATTGAACGCCGATATTTGGACGAACAATTTCACTTTGCTGTACGAGTCTGGAATTGGAAACATCAGCGTTTAGTCCAGTTGGTAGAGGTTCGCCCTGTGTCAAACCTTGATAACCCGGAAATAACTACACAGGCCTACTTTAAATGATGAGTACAATAAACAGGCTAATTTGCTGACAAAGTATTTTATCGGGAAAAAAGTTATTAACAATTTAATAGTAAAATTTCTTTTTTTAATAGTTTTCTTTAAATAACTCAGCGAGATGACTTTGTACGAAAAAATGTTTAGGACATGATGTTGTTCGTAATAAAAATAGCTGCAAAATGGCGGTGGTCCGATTACGAAATTTGTAATAACAAAGCCGTGAGATTGAAAAAACGGTTTAAAACGCAAATTTTTTGAAGTTGCTGTAAAAATGTCAATTATAAACAAAAAGTGATCAAACTTTCGAAAACTATAGTTCAATATATACAGCGTGGTAAAAAAGTTCTGCATAAAATTCATATTTGCATTAAACAATTTTTTTTCGAAAAACGGTGAGACCCGTCGATTTTTATTTGATCCAGGGCACCTTGTTATGTGGAAAAATTTTTTTTTTCGATAATCTACTTACGGCAGCGATGACATAATTTTTTTTTTAAATGACAACGCATATTTTTTTCGTTCGAAATTGATGACAGTGATAATTATCTAAACAACGGTGTGAAAATTTCGAT